CTGACACCCTGCACAAAGCATTTGTGAACAGGAGGTGGTGGAGTCCCCGTCCTTGGAGGCGTTCAAGAAAAGGGTCAATGTTGTACTGGGGGACATTGCTTAGTGGGCATGGTAGTGATGGGCTGATGGTTGGCTTGATGATCTGAGTGGTCTTTTCCAATCTTCATGATTCTATGATTCTGTGTCCTTAAGTGTCCTTAAGAGGAAGCTCTTCCTGGGGGCTGAGCCCTCTGTGTTCCTCTTGACTCCAAAAGAACGCAGCTAACAAAACACTCCCATGTTCCATGTTGTTCCAGGATTTTTTTGCTAGCTGAACCCATTTTTAATCCAACCATGAACTGTTAAACACCAAGGCTCTGCATGAATCAAAGAGTCGTTAAAGGTGAAAAGACCTCTGAGATCATCAAGTCCAATGCCAACCCACCCCCAGCATGCCACTAGACCATGTTCCTCAGTGCCACATCTATCTTCTCCTTGAACATTTCCAGGGTCATGGTTAGTGAGCACGATGGTGAATGACCTTTGGACTTACTTAGAGGTCTTTTCCAACCTCAGTGATTCTGCAATTCTTGTTTGGGGAACCTCGTAGCATAGAAAATAAGGCATGGACATTGCCTCAGGTCATGAGCCTTATTGAGCTTAGTAAGACAAGGCCAAAGGTCTTGTGAAGTCAGAGTCCTCCTAATGCTCTCAGCCCCACCAGCACATTGCCCACTCAGATGAGTGCTGCCAATGCAGTCATGCTGCTGGCATCTTGCTTGCATGCAGCTTTAGCCAAGCTTTTGGCTACAGGGTGGTTTCACCCCAAAATACCCTGCCAGATGGCAAAGGTCAAGCAGAAATAAGTGATCATACTATAACCCAGTCTACTGGCTGATTGGAAAGAAGTGTCAGCACTGGTGAGAATTTATCAGCAGTGATCCCAGCACCAGGGTGACAATTCCTAAAATTTTGGGGTGCTGGTGACTTGCTGTGACCACAAAGGAGAGGTAAGCACAGTGATGCAGGAAGGGATGGACGGCAGGAAGTCTGAATATAACGGTTGTAATTGCATTATTAATGGGAATTTGCACTAATTGGATAATTTGAATGCTACACGTTGGCCTCGTTGCAACAAGGCTAACAAAAATTACTCGCTTTATCTGGATGTGGTTGTCAATGAGGCTAACACCAAGCTCCCCACTCTGTGCATAAGGTCTGTCCCCTTTGCCTGCCACCAAACTTCAAAGATAATAATCTGGAAAAAGCACCTGAAAATAAGGGCAACCACAACCACAGCTGGCCACAGAAACCCTCCTGTCCTCTCCAGGCCCGGGTTTTGCAGGGGATTAATAATGGGATGAGTGTGGGGGTCCTGCAGGTGCTCCTTTCCCCACACTACCCATGGTCACGGTGGCCCTGGGAGACACGAGTGGCAGCCTTTGTGCTGCCATGGGGCTGCTGGGGAGGTCAGAGGGCCCCATTTGGGCTGATGCCATTTTGGCAGAAGGAAGGATGCGGCACCCACCATCGGGTTGCACAGCCTGGAGGAACCACCATTTCCAGACACATCTCTCCACGCTGCCCCAGCTCCCCGTTTTTTGGCAGAAGAGCCCAGCTGTGCTGCAGTAGCACAAGATGGACACGCTTCTTTCCCCCTTTCGGGCAAGATCCCCATGATTTTACAGCTGATCTCCCAATTCTTTTCAAGGGGAAACAAGAGGAAATGACATACCCCAGGATGGGAATTACTAAGTCAGGAACTCCCCCAGGCTTTGTTTCGGCTGGCGAATGTTTTCCTTCACCTTCCCCCTCCCCGCTTGCCATTCCCTTGGCTTGTTGAGAAAGGTCTGAATTTCAGGGTGGTGGGGGAAGGGATGCTCTCCGCGCCGCCTCTCCTGCCTCCGGTCGTGTCTGCTGGTAGCCGATCCCTTCGCTGTGCAGGGTGATGCTGATGTGGAGTGACACTCGACCGCGCCATGCAGGGAGAGGGCAGCCCCTGCCAGCTCTCCCCCTCCTGCAGCCAACGTTGCTCTGGGAGCTGACCCCTCGGCGGGGTGGTGGTCGGCACCCCACTGCCCCCAGTAGGGTCCTCAAGATGTGGGGCAGGGCAATGAGGGTTGGAATAGGGCTGGGAAAATGCTCCTGTGTGTCTGCTGGTGAAGATCATCGTTGGAGGTGCTGGAGGGCAGAAGGACTCCTGAGGCTTGGGCTGACGTGGCTTGCAGATTTGGATGATAGGCTATGGGAGATGTAGCCAACAGCTGAGGGCTAAAGGTGACCCAGCCTCCATCCTCAGCCTCTTTTTATCCATACCAACCATTTATTCTCCATTCCATCCTCCTCTTCTCCATCCCTGTCCTCCATTCCTCCATCCTCAGTCTCCCCTTCTCCATCCCCATCCTTGCCTTCTCCATCCCCAGCCTTCCCCTCTCCATTGCCAACCTCCATTTCTCCATTCTCAACCTCCTCTTCTTCATTCTCAGCCTCTCCTTCTCCATCCCCATCCTCCATTTCCCCATTCTCAGCCTCCCCTTTTCCATCCCCAGACCTTTTCTTTTCTAGCCATAGCCTCTTATTCCTCATCCTCAGCTTCCTGGTTCCTTCTGTTAACCCTGTGCTTGGGAAAGACTCACTGTTAGCTACCTCACTCTGCTCATCTGCCACAAGCTTAACTTGGCTGCATACATCCCAGCTCTGTGAGACACCAAGGTCTGTGCTGTGAAACAGAAACCAGGAGGAGAAAAAGCAGAGCCTCTGTGTTTCCACTTCATACCCAAGTTCAGTGCAGGGTCTGAAAACGCCAGCTGCAGAAAACAGACCTGATTTCTCACCCCCGAATCAAGAAGACACAGGGCAAGGGACATGACCTAGTTTTCAGTGGCAGAATTTAATATTTCCCCTGCAAGGAGAGCCAACCCAGCTTCCTCTCCCTCCTGCTCCCCGGCCAAGCAGAGAGGCTGGCCCACTGCCTTCCCACCGGCATGGGACAGAGGGGAAAATCTTACAGTGCAGCCTCATCAGAGCCCAGATGCGCTGCTGATTCATCCAGCAGGGAAGCATCTGTTTCCTTCTTATTGCTCTATTTGTGTTCAGCTGCAATGGCACTGGGGAGATGTGCTCCTCAGGATAGCACTGAGGGGAAGGAGTACCCCATCCCATGTCCAAAAGTCGTAGAATCATATAATTATTCAGTTGGAAGGGACCCTTAAAGGCCATCAGGTCCCTCTCCCTGCAGTGAACAGGGACACCCACAGCTCCATCAGCTGCTCAGAGCCCCTTCCAGCCTGACCTGAATGTCCCCAGGGATGGGGCATCCATCACTTCTCTGGGCAACCTGTGCCCAAGCATCACTAGTCCTCATATGGCGTTGTCTGAAACCCAGAGAGGAGTTTTGCCAGCCTGAATGAATGCGATGGCCTTCGCAAAGCAGCAAGGGACAACTCTCTATGGGATGCTTGATGCCCTCATTCAGGAAATTGTGTGGATATAATTTGATTATTCCTTCCTAGTTGTTTAGCATCACAAAGGGGAAAGCTGCCCTCCAAGATGAGCCTGTGGAGCCACCACTGTGAGAGTGGTCTGGGGAAAAAAGCTTCCCTTGTTTCACCTCGTGCTTTGTTGAATTATATAGGGAAGGACTTGGGTTACTTGTGGCACAGCGTTTCCAGGTGTGGGCATCAACCTGAACCAGCTGGAGGCTGCACAGAGGCTTACCAGCCCTTCCTTACCACCAATCAATGAGAAAACAAAGAAAATTTGGATGGCTCCTCCGATCAGTTGGAGATGTTTAGGAGCAGCAGGGCACTGCAAGAGCACCTCAGCTGCCATAAACTGTGTTGGTCCTCACTCACTATAGAGCAATCAATGGCTGTTGCTGGATCCCAGATGTGTTGCTCCTGAAACAAAGAGGTTGGGCTCTTCTGGAGAAAATGCAAAGCTCAGGCACCACTTTTGCCTCAGGGCTGATGGAAGTTCACAGGATCATTAAGGCTGGGAAAGGCCACTAAGATCATCAAGTCCAACCGCCAAGCAATCACCACCATACCCACCACATCCCTATGTTCCTTCTGCCCTTTTCTAGAAAGCCTCCACGGACAGTGACTCCACCACTGCCCTGGGGCTGCCTGTTCCAGTATCACTCATTCAGGGAAGACATTTTTCCTAATATCCGACTCGACTTACTTTATTTGCTTTCCAGTGCAGATGCCAGAATCAACACAGAAAGCAGGGCAGTCTTCTGCCAGGGATAAAAATTCATCCTGTGAAGTGAAGAAGTTTCAACAAGATCCATAAACTCCTAATCTGGCTTAGCAAGAGTGAAATCAGACTGAGAAATAGCTGGGATTTTAGCTGGGGGTGTTTTAGCTGGAAATCTGATGGCAGATGTGTGCATCTGTTGAGTGTGTGTGTACACACAGAATGCAACAGAGGTTTTAGAGAACAATGTTGTACAAAAGAAGAACAGCATAGGTTATTCCTTATCAAAATAACACTGTGAAGATGAGTGGGCTGGTTGCCTCCCTCCAGCTCAGGCTGCCCAGGGCTCCATCTAACCAGACCTTGAGCACCTCCAGGGATGGAGTACCCACAGCTATCTGATCAGCAGTGCCAGGGCCTCACTGCCCTCTGAGTAAAGAATTTCTATGTAACACCTAATCTAAATCTCCCCTCTTTCAGCTTAAACCCTTTGTCCCATCACTGTCAGATCACGTAATAAGTCAGTCGCCCCACCAGGAGATGAGCAAGACATTGGCCAACCAACTCGAGAGGCTTTGGGCCATCTTATGAGCAGCAGATCCCAAATCAGAACTGCTGTGCAGGGGAGAAGCCATAAAAATGCTGGACCTGGAAGTAGCAAGGGGGAAAGAAATCTTCATGCAAGGGAGCGAAGGAGGCAGCTCAGCAAGTCGCTCAGGACCCAGAGCGGTGCCTGGCTAAGCTGGGGCTTTAGAGTGATTATAAGCGGCTTTAAGAGCAGCGAACGCGGGAGTCACACACAAAAAAAAGTCAGCAAGGAAAAACAAACAGTGTCACTGGTTACGTAAGGGATCAGAGAGGCACTGAAGTGGCAGCCGGCAGCCACGTGCGCTGCCCGGGGTTTTCCAAAGCGCCCATAACGCACGAGTGGTCTTTTGGCCCATTAAGGGTTTAGGGGAAGATGCAGAGAAGGGTGAAAGAAGGTTTGAAGGTAGGTGGCAGCTCGTGTGAGAGTGCTGACAGAGCGGGGTTTGAACGGAGCTGCAAAACCAGGAGTGGTTGGGATTATAGAATGGTTTGGTTGGGAGTTGTAGAACGGATTGGGTTGGAAGGGATCTTGAAAATCATTAAGCTCCAACCTCCTGCTGCAAGCAGGGCTGTCAGCCACCGGATCAGGTTGCCCAGGGTCCCATCCAACTTGCAGGGACATCTCTTCAGTATCCCATCCATCCATCAAGACACCCAGAGCTAGGAACCCAATGCCCCACCAAATGGGATGAGAGTAGGGCAGGTCCAGGCTGAAAAGGGAGCGGATCCTCATCACGTGCACTGAGCTTAAACTGAGGAATCACTGCTGCAGTACAAAAAGAGTTCATGTGGATCCCAAATCTGTAGCACACGATCGTCCAGAAAAGACTCTTCCACCTGAAGATCCCACCTCTACCTTAGAATCATACAATGATAGAAGCACACAGCCGCAGAACATCCCAAATTAGAAGGGACCCACAAGGATCAGAGTCCAACCCCTGGCTCCACACAGCACCACCCAAACCTTATGGCTGAGAGCAAGGTCCCAGCACTCCCTGAGCTCCAGCAGCTCAGGGAGAAGCACCAGGACTTGAGCAAACCCACAGCAAGACTGACCTCAGCAGCAGCAGAGTTCAGCGGAAACAGCCAGAACAACATGTGCTGATCCCATTTAACAGACATCCCCTCCAAGACAGACACCCTGAGCTGTCTTTTTTTGCTTTTTTCTATTGCAAAGATTAATTTCCCTGGTTGGAAAGTTTGTGCAATATTGCATCACTCCGTTGTTTGGCTTGGCCAGTGAGCAGTAAGCACCAGGACTTCAGCTGGGTTGCTTGCCTGGAGCTGACCCCATAAATAGCAGTGAGGTGGGGAGATCTGCATGGAAATCCATCCAGGACAGCAGGGGCCAAAGGCACCTCTGGCTTCGTTGTGTTGCACTCCTGTAAGCAGTCTGCAAGCAGTCCCTCTATTTGGAGAGTGGTCAGTTATAAAGAGAGGTGATAAATAAGAGCTGAGAGATGTTTTCTTTTTACTGCCCTATGTGCAGGAATCTTGCTTCCTAAAAGGGAAATGAGGAACGCACAGCTCCAGGAGGGCTGGCAGCAAGTAAACCAGCAGCCAGCATCTTTTATAGGAGGTGGAGAGCAGAGAGTTGGCCATATATGGTCAACTGGGGTTGCCCACAGGACCATGTGGGCAGGAAATCATGGAATGGCTTGTGTTGGAAGGGATTGTCCACTTCCAACCTCCACATTGTAGGCAAGGTTGAAGACTGCTAGATCAAGCACTAAACGAGGCTTCCTAGGGCCCCCCATCCCACTTTGGCCTTGAACACCAAATCAACCGGTCACATCCCTGATCATTTAGCTTGATTTCTCTTTGTGGGAACCTCAGCACAGGAGAGATCTCATGGGAGTATCTCAGAGCTGCTGTGTGCCTCAGTTTCCCCTGCTTTGAAATAGGGCAGAGAAACACCTCATGTATGCTGAAAAATATGCAGAAACAACTCGGATGAGAAGCAGAATAGATAGTTAGTAGGAGGCGTTTGCTTGCTGCATGAAGTTTCAGCTTTTCATTAAAGCACAGCCGAAAAAGCCTCATTTAGAAAGGATGATGAGGAAAGGTTTCCACTTCTCCAGCTGGACAGGAAGGTTTGCCTCCTAAAGTTGCCTCCCAGAGCTGCTGGTGGTCTCTGGAGGAGCGGACAACTCTCACCACCCCACCCCTCTAACAACACCTTCTTTGAGGTCTGATGTGGCACCATCCAGCCATGCCCAGGAGGTTAAGGGACCACTGAGACAATAATCCCTTAATGATGGGGCATGTAATAACAGGACAATAATCCCTTAATGGTACTAAAAGACCTGCTGAGCTAATTGTGTTCTCCAGGTGAGCGTTTTGCCTTCTGTCATGCCATGTAATGATTCCCAGCTTTCGTCCTCTGCTCACGTTGATGTCCCAAATGCTGCAACTTCTGTCAGAGCTACACTTTCCCATCCACTCCCAGCAAGCACCATCCTCCTTGTGGGGATGTTCCGTGCCTCCAATCTGCCCTTGTTTCCCTCGTGGACCACAAATAGCTGTGCCAGGGGGAAGCAGAGCATCATCCCTTGGCACGGGCAGACAGACAGACCTGTGGTTTCTATGGCAACCAGTTCAGGTGTCAGGATGCTGATGTGGGTGGGGATGGGGACAGCAGTGAGGATGGGGATGTAGATGTGGATGCCTCTGGCCCAGAGGAGGACCAGGATGTTGGGATGCTCAGGGGCTGCGCTCTGCAGAGAAGCAGCGAGGCAGCAGTGCTGGAAATCTCTGGCAGATGTCAGCGTGGAGCTGGGAGCAGCCTCGCCCGGCGGGTCGGTTTGGCACGTCTCAGCAGTGAGCTCATGTCTCCTGCAGCCCTCGGGACACGGCGGGGCTGGATGGAGGACCGGACAGACACAATGGTTGTCCTGCTGGGAAGGTCCTGCAGCCTCCTGCAACCTCAACACTGGGCTGCTCCTAGCCCAGCTCCATCTCGCCCATCCCAGCCTCCAACCTCTTTGGGCTGCAATCCTTAACAGGCTTCCTGAATCCAGGCCAAAATGTTGTCCTAGAGGCTTCAACACAGCATAACATGAGAGAGGGATCTGGATCCCAGTAGCTCTGGAGAGGAAGAAAAAAAGTCCTTGCATAAGTGAAGGTCTACTGCCCTGGTCACAAGCTTCTGCTTTGTCCAGGGTCAGTGTTGGGTCCACACAGGGTCTGACAGAAGGTTTGAGGAGCACAGGTTGGAGCCAAAGCCCTGCTTCTGTGGCCTACAAGGGACAGAGGGGAGCAGTGCCTGGGGTTCAGGAACAGCATCGTGTTCTTGGAAGTGCTGGGCTGACCTATGATTTGACCATATGACCTATGATTCTATGACCTGGGGTCGTTCATGCAGTCACAGTTTAGACACAGGCACTCTCTGATGTTGCTTCAGACAGCAGCATGGACTATTACTTCTCCTCACCTCTTCACCCATGCAACAGTGATAGGAGAAGAGGTAATGACCTTAAGTTGAGCCAGAAGAAGTTCTGGCTGGATATTAGGCAACATTTGTTCTCCAACTGTGGTCAGACACTGGCACAGCTGCCCAGGGAGTAGTGGGGTCACCATCCCTGGAGATGCTCCAGAACGGTGGGGATGTGGCACTGAGGGACGTGGTCAGTGGACACAGTGGGATGGGTTGGGGTTGGACACGTGGATCTCAGAGGCCTATTCCAACCTTAATGTTCCACAGTGATGTCATTGTGTTCTGCAAATAGTGTTTTCTGCTGCCTACATAAGCAGTTTACTTTTTATTCTAGCCTTCTATTTATCCAAAATGCCTTGGTATGCAGGAGACAGACAGTTCTCTGGGATGACTGCATAAACTCAGCATGAGTTCTTTCTGCCAGTCAGGCAAATAATCTCAGCAGGGAGAATGAGAAAGGAAAAAAACACAAAGCCATGCAGCATCTCCCAGGAACGGGCCTGGTGATACAGGGCCATTTGGGCCACATGTCCACTGTGTTGTGAGGTCTCTGAGGTGAGAGCTGTGAGCATGAACTCCAGCTCCCACTCAATCATTAAGGTTGGAAAAGAGTGCTAAGATCATCAAGTCCGACCCTCAACCCATCGCCACCATCTCCCCACACCCAGAGCAGAGGTTGGCACAGTTTTGTATTGGATCCCAGCAGCTTTCCCCAGGTCTGTGTTTGACAGGCACCCTCTCCATCCTTTAGGGATAAGGGCAAATCACCGCTGACAAAACCTTTTGTAATTACAAAAGGAAATAAGGTGGGACCTACTCAATGCTTCCTCTCCAAGGAATAAAATGCTTATACTGAAGAAACTCAAACCTATAAAGAGCCAGAGCCACCTGACAGGTATCTGTAGACCCCCATAGCCCATAATGTGCTGTTTTTTTTCCCGACAGAGCTGTATCTGCTGTGTTAGGCCATAGCTGGGACATGAAAGCACAGCAAATTCAGCAGCCAGAGCAGCTCAACAGAAGGGAAACATAGGGTTGTGCTGCATCAGGTCCAGGGGTGTCACAGCACTGTCAGCACCTCTTGCTGGAGCTGCAATTCCAAAGGGAACGATCCAGAGAGAAGAGCTGGGGCAGAACCTGTGTCACTCACTGGCTTCAGGCTTAGAGCTGGCAAACAGCTCAGAGAGCAACTTGCTAAATAACATTAGAAAAGGGCTTTAGAGAGCATCAGGTTGAGTGGCCAAACGTAAAGCGTTAAGGGAGCAACCAACCTTAAGAACCTCTTTCCAAAGCTCCTTTGCCTTCCTGGAGGAACTCTTTGGGCCGTGCCCATGGTGACTTGGTTACGCTCAAGACAATTTCACTGCAGCCTCTTGGTGCAGGCTGAGGTCCCAGAGCTTCACCCCGATGCGTGTGCCCCCAGCCACTGAAGGACAGGTCCCTAGTGACAGCCAACATTTCATGGTGCTAACTGCAAAAAATTCAGCGTGCAAATCTCCGGCGAACGGCCACGATGCTGTAGCAGCAAAATGTTGTTAGCATGCCTATTAGTGCACGCTAATTAGCTCCCACCACTGCTCCTGCCGCAAGCTGGAGGATGGATTATGCCATATGCACTAAGCAGCTTAGTTTGGGTGGCAGCTCACAGGGTAGCAGGGAGCACAGAAAGCGGCCAGCTTACCGAGCTCTGCACATCAGCTGTCTGTGAGCAGCACGACGGGATCCAAGCTACGGCTTGCAAGTTTTGCAGCAGCTTTTCCCTCCTGCAAAAAGAAAAGAGACTGATTCAGCAGAAACACCCTGCTTGTCACCTCCATCACGTCACCGTGCTGCCAGGCGAGGAGCAGAGCAAAGACAAGCAGGCAGAAGGGCTACTTGCTGGGAGGCGATGCCTTTCCCTGTCCTTATGATCAACCCCCCCAGCCCAGGGATGCACCGCTCCCGTTGCCATAGGGATGTGTGAGGGATGCTGCTGCCATCTCCTGGATGGAACCCACAAGCGTTGCTACCATTCATCCTTTACTCCTTATAAAGGGATAGAAACTCAGACAGAGAGGCTGTGGGGGTCTTGGGAACCTCCAAAAGCCACCTGAGCGTTGGCAGCCTGCTTTGGGTGTGCCTGCCTGCTTTGGGTGTGCCTGCCTTCAGCCTAACCACGTGAATTCATAACGTTGGTGTTCGGTGGGCAACCTTATGGGTTCACGTGGCTCGTGCCAATGGCCAAAGTCATGGTGGCAATGTTAAATGCCTGAATGGAGGAACACGATATACTGACTGCACCGGGTCACTTGAAGGAGATGAGAAATGCTTGGATTTTCTCCTATGGTTGCCTTACTGCAGGCTCTTCTATGCTCACAGCCTTCCTTCCATCTCCACCAGTGTTCTGCTCCTACTACACCTTCCTCCAAGAGCTGATGCAAAGTGGGATCATAGAATGCCTTTGGTTGGCAAGGACCTTAAATCCTATCTGGTCCCAAGCCCCTGCTGTGGGCAGCTTGCCCCTGACCAGATCAGACCGTCCACACCCCATCCAGCCTAGCCTTGAAAGAGATGGAGCATGAGCTTTCAGATTGTCCAGAGGAATATCTCGTTAGCAGGAAGAGATAGAGGGGAAAAAAATGTGTAATGCAAAACCTTCTGGTGCAGGAGGTAGCCCAAAAGTACCAGCAGAAGCAGAGCACCTGTGTCCTGCACCATGCCACCCATGCTCCTGGCTGCAGGTTCTCTTGCCAGGCTGAAATGAGGCCACCTCTCTGCTACATTCTCTGACCTTCATTTGATGCTGGCAGAAGATTTTCTGGTGGACAAAGCAGAAATCTGTCATCTGTGGTGGCCTTGGATCCAGGTGACATCTGTCCCTCCTGCAGCTCTGGTCTGATTTGTCACTGAGCAGGCAGTGTCAGGCCACTGACATGGGTGACCAAGGGGAATTCTGAGTCCCACACTGCAGAACCACGTAGCAAAAATAAGGTCTGAGCCCTGAATCTCCATCAGATCCTCTATCAGACCCAAGCTTCAAGATCATCAAACCCAACCATCAACCCGACCTGCTGAGTCCCACCACTAAATCATGTCCATTAGTGCCATGCCCACACATCTCTTAGTTACCTGCAAGGACAGGGATGGTTACTCCACCACTGCTCTGGGCAGCACGTTCCAATGCTTGTCCACCCCCTCCATGAACAAGTTCTTCTGATATCCAATCCAAACCTCCCCTGGTGCAACTTGAGGCTGTTGATCTGCTCAAGTTGCTGGGCCAGATCCATAGGAGCAGAGCTGAGCACAAGCATGGATCTGTGTTTGTTCCTCTGTCTCACCACCACACCAGTCTGCTTTGTAGTGAGAAGCCTTTTGAAGGCTTATTGTGATGACACAGATCAGGATGGAGTGGGAGGGCTGAGAACTGTTGGGGCAAACTCTTCTATGGATACAGATGCATCCATAGGGGTTATAAAGCGTTGGGGCAGGAAGGGGAGTTTTTGCCCCTTTTTTTAAGAGAATTTAGAAAAGATTACAAGAATTAAGTCTCTACAGTACCTCAAGCACAAAACTTGCCTGGACAGCAGCTCTTCTGGTCTGCTGGTGGGAATCCCTACATTCAAGCCTAAGGTTGGCAGAAATGCTCAGCAGTTTGCTTCTGAGGTTAAAAAAACAACAGATCTGAGAGCCCAGAACATGGCTGCTTCTGTGCAGAGGGGAATATTGCAGCACTGTGACTCACTGCCAGCTTGTGATAGCCCCCATTTCCCTAGAAGGATCAACACAAAGTATCAATTTAAAAGATCAGCCCAAATCCCCCAGAATCTCCCTGATATCCATAGCTACAGACAACAGCTGGAAGCCACAGGGCTGATGGGCTCTAAAACTCACATCACAAACAAACTAAACAGAAAGTTGTGACATTTGTTGCTTTTAAATTTTTATGATGCTTCACATAACCTATATAGTGGGCAGCTGCTCTGTTCTTGCACTGAGATGCATGAAAAAGAAGAGTTCTCCTTGATTAGATCTCACATAATGTGAAATGAAAACAGGGTTCTGAATTTAATTTTTTTGGCTTTTGCCTTCAGGTGGAATGGCAAAATTAGGACAAGCTCAAATGAGCTAGTAATTATTATTATTCCTTCCATGAACAACCAGAGTACCTTGGAGCTCTTGTACTCATTCAGAGAGGAGCATGGTGATAAATGCTGCATAATGCATGGCTGAAGTTTAACAGAAAAGAGGAATGTTTTGTGCAGAAAGAAACAGGGGAATGTTCCAACACTTCCTAACAGTAACAGGAAATTGGAGAACGAATTATTTGAATACCTGTTCAATTTTCCTGTTAATGCCAGACATGACAGGAGGACCAGGTCGACACAGATGAGCGCGGTGGCTGGGTTCTGTGCTTGACCCCATAAAGTTTTCCATGTACACGAACAGGATTCAAGATCAGTGCTCCAGGTGAGTCAGAAATGGCTGGATGAATCAGCCTCGGGTTCTCCTGCAGGACAGCAAGAGGTCAGGGCTTGTTCTGAACGCCAAGGAAGGAGAGGAAAGCACAGAGGGTGCCCTGCTGCCAGCACAGCACAGCCACGCTGATATCAACTGGGTTTCTTTGCCCTGGCTCACACAAGTCGTTGGCCTCTCAATGCACACACAGTAAAGATCAAATTGCACACACAAAAAAATAACAAAGAGTGAGACTAAATGCTGATATGATGCCACTTAGGTCCCCCAAAAAAATGCAAAATGGAAATAGTGGATAAGGACTGCAGGACAGATTGGCTGCTGGCACAGAGTGACATCTTACCCTGACGATTCATCTGAGATAATACAGTCAAGCTAAACGGCGCTGGCTCTTTCACAGACCATCCCAAGCCCTGTGCTCCAGTTTCTGCACAACTCCACAACCTTAGAAACAAAATGGAAAGGGTTAGGGTCCAGCATGCAGATACAGTGATGGAAGAGTAGCCACCACTGGGGAATCACAGCTACACTCAGGTGCAGACTCTCAACAGGCATAAGAACAGTACTTGAAGGGACACACAAGTCCAATCTCACCTTCCACAAAGACAGACAACAGATGAGATTTAGTGAAGAAAGAGCTACAAGATTTCTTCTGTTACACTCGAAGAAACACTTTGGAGTGATTCCAGGGGATTTAATGGAATACCTCCAGCCCTCCACAAGCACTGAAGTCTATGGTGGCTGGCTCCTCTTACACACACACACACCAAAACAAATGCACATTTCTTCAGTTCTTTCAACAGAATTTATTTTACTGCAAAAATTGTTTAGGACAGAACCAGAAACATCATGGCAAAACCAAATGCTGAGTAATTCAGAGGCTTTAGAAGCCTCCCATCAAGTAACCTCATTGAGCTAAGTGGTGCAACCCAGTAATAATGACTTGCTGATTTTACATAGCATGGTGCTGTGCTGTAGCCCAGCACTCTTGCATAGCATCACATTGAGCAGCAGTGCAGAAATGAGACAGCAATCAAACAACGGAAGGAAGCATATTTCCTATCTCATCCCACTGATAACACAGCTTTTAGCCTACTCAATTTACCTCTAACTTTGGAACAGACAAAACCAACTCCTTGTCCTCCCCAATTATTGTGTGGATACACAGATTCAGTTGAATTCAAAAAAGGGAATTAGCAAGCATCAATTAGGTTATTAAAAATAAATATTCTTATGCAGGAAACACACTGACCCCCTAGAATTAAGATATTAGTAATCATTTACTTGCAACTTCAATTGCATGATTCATACTGCCAGACCTTTTTAATACATCAAAAAAACCAAAGGCCATGAAGTGGGGGTGTTTGGGGTCCCCAGACACACTGAGCCAGCTTGTACTTCACAGGATGAATCATCAGAACCTGGTTGCTGTCAGAATTGTCCTGCACAACACATGGAGCAAGTTAGCCTTTCCCTGGAGGTGTGTGTGTCTCTCAGCAGAAGACAAAACCCCAAAGCCTCATTTCCTAAGTCCTACTGTTCCAGGCTGCATTTATCACTGCCACAACATTATACTCTGCAAGTGCAGAGCAAGCCTGGCAAATTCAGAAAGGGGTCTGAACCAAATGTATTTGATATAGATTAGAATTTGGAAACAAGTATGGGTACAGTCACATGAGAGTGCCTGCCTAGATAAAGTAACTGGGTGCCAGTTACTGATATCCCTGGTGTACACATGCATCAGAGTGCTTAAGCCCCATGTTCTTGACTAGCTTATCTCATACGAATTTTTTATCAGCCCTAAAAGAACCAAAAGCAAAAACTTCTGATCAATTCTTGCAGTTAATGCTTAAACAAAGCGTCCTATTATCTCCAAACACTGCACAGAGACTGGAAGGGTTCTTGTTTGCTTTTCGTTACGTGGTTTATTCATTAAAAAGTTCAACTCCTGCATTTTCTCACGCCACAGTTTCATGCCACAGTTGGAGCAACAGCTTGGCTGTCAGGCTGGAGGTTGATCAGGGAATTGCTTGCTTGGACCAGCTCTGCAATGGATACTCGTCCTCTCTGTTTGATAAACTGAGCCACAGCAGCCATCTCCTCCGGCGTAATATAGATGAACTTTCCTCTGTCATCAATTACACCTACAGGGGAAAAAGAAAGGACCTTCAAGTCAGCACTTTGGCTCTTCCCACTTCCCAACAGACATTAGTTACTTCTTTTTGGAAGGGGCCTTTGAACTGCTGAGGCTGCATTTCGTATCTAGGGCAGGCAGAACAATGTGCTAGCAGTCAGTTAACATCTCTACTGTTGAGCTTTTGAATAGGGTTTTGACAATACCTGAGTGCCTGGGTAAGACTAATTTTGTTCAGCAAGTAATGCATTTTTTTCCCCCCACTGTGTGTAGCTAGTTGGGAATATCACAGCAGTGCATTCAGGTACGTTGCATTAGTGTTGATATTCCAGGGTCAGACAGCCA